CAGAGCACACCCGCCCCCGGAGTGGGACCACATCCGAGACCAGCAGTTCTCAACCTACTGGCCCTTAAAAATACAGTTCCTCATGTTGTGACACAACCATAAAATTATTTTTGTTGCTACTTCATAACTGTAATGTTGCTACTGTTATGAATCGTAATGTAAATATCTGATATGCAGGATGGTCTTAGGCGACCCCTGTGAAAGGGTCGTTCGACCACCAAAGGGTTCGTGACCCACAGGTTGAGAACTGCTGCACCAAGCCAAACGGGCTAGGGCAGTTTCTTAGTATTTTTATTGTCAGTTTATATGAGTTCTTTATAAGGCAATTGCGTTTTGCTTTGAAGGTGCTTTCCAAAATTTTCCCACCCACCTATCAGTTTTTACCAAGTTTCCAGATTTATGCAGCTGGGGCAGCAACCCCCTACTTGTGTGAATGCTGTCAAAGCTTTTATTTCTTGAAGCAGAAGTGGTGCTGATCCTGCAGAAAGATCTAATCGGTGTGAATAGAAGTGGCACTGATACGAGAAAAAGAGTATTAGAATCCATCCAGAATTAAGAAGGCGAGTGAGCAGCAAGGAGAAAGGGTAAAGAATTCATTGCCATTGATGATGGAAGGAGGAAGCTAAGAGATAGGAAGTGGTGGCCTGATACAGGGGTCATCTTAGTTTCTTCTGAAAACGTTTGTTCAACCTCCCTGTGGAACATTTCCTCATAAGCAGCTCCGCTATGGTGCATCAGTAAAGTTGCTGTATGATGTGGTATGTGAAACGGCAGTCTGAGTGTAATCTGTGTCTCCTTGAGTCCCCAGTGCCTTTGCTGTTCCCATCTTGTTCCTCAGTATTGACTGTCTTTGCTTATTCTACTCACTGTGCCTTGCTGTTGAAGAGCCAAGCCTCAGGATTTCTTTTAGCAATTTCTTTTTTCTGCTAGGTGTGTGTATTCCTTCCTTGAAAAATAAAATAGCTCTTATTAACACCTGAGTTAATACCCAAAGTATTATGTGTTAAAAGAATATTAACTGCTAAGAACCACTTTAAAGAAGTTCTCTTACTTTATGATCTAGTCATACCTTTTAATTTAGGCACCTAGAACAATGATTTTCAATTGGTGTGCTGCAAGAATTTAAAAATCATCAATACCTGACTATTTAGTCAGGGGCACTGACCTCTTTTTTCTTAGATTGTCAAATAAAAAATGATAACAGCCAACACAACAATAGCCATCATGTGTGAATGAATAAAAATTATACCTATTTTTCTGTCAGATCGACAAAAAATATATTTTTGGTGTGCTGCAGAATTCTAATAATTAGTTTATGTGTGCCATGAGATGAAAAGGGTTGAAAATTGCTGATTTAGAGCATGTTAAGAAAGAAAGTTCAAGGAATTAATATTAGATCAGTCATCTCCTTTAGAACTGTCAGGACTATAATTACCTTACAGGTGTTATTGTTATCTCCAATTTACCTGTGAGGAAACTGGTATCAGAGAAGTTCAGTACTTGTCCAGCATCCTATCTAATAATAGACAAACATGGTAATTGACCATACCTTCGCCATACCTCCCATTGGCTAATCAACAAAGATGGCGGTTAATTTGCATATGTAGGCGAGAAGCGGAGAGCGAAGACTGAAGACGGCTCTGGCTGGAGCAGCGAAGGCTTAAAGGTGGCTCCGGCTGCAGCAGTGACTCCGGCCAGAGCAGCGAAGGCTTGAAGGCGGCTCCGACCAGAGCGAAGGCCTGTGTCCTGGGTGCCAGAGGAAAACCGGTGCCGGTAGCCAGGGGAAGGGAAGGCCTCTAGTCAGTTAATAAGCAGCAGAGCTGGGGCCCGTGCCGGGTCTCCCTGACTCCAGAGCTAGCGCTCTTCATTATTATGTTCTATCTGCCTTTCCATATGTGGAGACAGGGATATACATAGTCAGGGCAAAGTCTGAGGACACCCCTGAATGCAAACATGGAATCTTATCTCATCAGACTTGATCTTGTCAGCTTTTCAATTACCTGGAAGAAACAGTTTGATGGATTCAGACTATTTCCTAGTAAACTGAGTTAATGTGACATAAGTCACCTCTGTAAAAGCATATGTGCAAAGTCAAAGGATCAAACAAATGATTAGAATTACTTCTGTGGTGGCTGTGGAGATTGACCATTCATAGACTGACTTGCTAATAAGGAATTTTCTAAGGGCCGAATATAAAGGAAACTCTTAATAGCAAGATGTTTTTTCCCCATTAAGCAAAAGGACTTAATTTGCCAAATCTTTGTAAATCATACCTAATTGTAACCAACAATAGCTACCAGTTATGAGCACCTATTATATACTAGGAACTATGTTTTTTGTATATTCTGTTTTATTTCTCAGAACAACCTTTTGAAGTAGATATTATTCCATTTTTATAAAAGAGGAAACTGAGGCTTGACAGGAAAATAATTTCCCAAGATCACATATAGTACTTAGAAAGCAGCTAGAGTTGGGATATACAGTCAGCTTTAATTCAAAAGCTTATGCTCCAAAGAGTCATCCATGAAAATTCAGATTAAAAATAGTTTGAGAATACTAAATCCAATATGATAGTCAATATATTGTTTTAAGAATTTATGGTAAAACTGTGTGGTATAAGAGCAAAGTAATAACAGTTTTGAGAATAAAGGCTGCTTGTGTGGAGATAAAGGATGAATCAGGAAGAAGCACACAGCTAATTGGTTCTGGTAATGTCTAGTTCTTAAGTTGGATGATTGGTTTGCATATATATTCTTTTGTACATATTATAAAACATTTTAAAAAGCTCACATATTTGTATTATGCCCCATTGTCATTCATTTCACTTTTGTAGGAACCTTGATAAAGGTCACTGTTGATCCTTGCCTAGACTTGTTTTTTAAATATTGCGGTATCAATATTTAAACAAATTTTTAAATGAAAAGTGGTATATGCTCCCTGAAGAAAATTGGCAACATAGAAAAATAATCATCCAAAATCATCACCCAACACACCCCCCTTCCTACCCACTGAATTAGTTGATATTTTAGTATATTTCCTTTTAGTCTTTATTTTGAATTCCTGCTTAGTATTTTATCCTGTATTTGAGCATTAGGTTATTTAATTTTTTTATTGTTATAAATAATGCTTTGATAAAATATCTTTATTTTACAAGTCTCATCTAAATTCACATGATTCCTCAGAGTAGATTCCCAAAGTATAATTTATGGGTCAGAAGTTATGAGTTATTTTAAAATTCTTGATATATATTGTCATATTGCTTAAGTAAAAATTTCAGCTGTTAAAGAAAAGATTGAGCTATATATTTTATACACAAGTACTAGTAGGAATTAGATAAGTGGCTGTTTTTCTAAGACCTCTAAATTATTCAATACCTCATGGACTGAGAAAACAAAAACAACCCAATTAGACCAAAGGAGTTGAATATACTTTTTTCAAAGAAGATATACACATAAAAAGATGATAACAGCATTAGTCATTAAGGAATTAAAAGTTAAAAAATGCTATGAAATAATACCTATACCCAGTAGGATGGCTATTAACAAACCTGAAATAACAAATGTTGGCAAAACTGTGGAGAAATTGGAACCCCAGTATGTTGTTGGTGGGAATGTGACATGCAACCACAGTGGAGAAAAACATAATGAGGTACTGACACATGCTATAACATGAAAACATGTTCAATGAAGGAAGCCAGTTACAAAAGCCCATATATTGTATGATTCCATTTATAGGATATGGCCAGAATAGGCAAATCCACAGATTCGTGATTGCCTAGAGCTGAGAGTTTGGGGGAAAATTGAGAATGAATGTTAATAAAAACAAATTTCTTTTTCAGTTAACAAAATGTTCTAAAATTGATGTGGTGATGGATGTACAACTCTGTGGATATACTCAAAACTATTGAATATATATGAATTATAGCTCAATAAAGTTTTATATTGAAACAAAAAAGAATGATGACAGCAGAGTCAGGATGGTATTGGAGGTATGAGGATAGTGGAAAAGATGTGAAATAGACTCTGGGAGAGTACAAGAATTTACTGACTATGGAAACATAGTAAGATTGGTAAGCAGTACTTGAGGGGCCTCTTGAGGTTTGTGGACTTAAATGTAATGTGAGCCCAGTTGGCACTGTTGTGCTGCTTAGGTAGGAACAAATAATAGGTGGAGTGCTGGATTTAACCAAAATTGGGTTTTGCCAGGGAGTACAAAAGAAATTAGAAATAAGTTGAGGGAATACTCAAGGGAATGGTTAGATAACTGTGAAATCTAACTTAGGGAAGAAGGAAATTAAGAACATAAGAAGGTAAAGAACACTGAAAAAGGTGATAGTTTGGAATTAGATATCCTAGAGAGGCTGAGAAATTATTGGAATTAGGATATTTAGAGGGAGTCAGAAAAGAACAGTGGTGGTTATCAGAAAATGGGACATCAGAAATTGTCAGCTTGCAAGTGGCACTATTATTATTGACAAGCTCAACCAGGGTTTCTCATTGGAATCACGAAACATCGATAATGAACAGATTGTTATCCTACTTCTCTCAATGATGGTACAAAACTGGTACCAATCATTCTAAATGTAGCAGACAGAGATTAACTCATCACATACAGTGTATGCCTTAGGGCATTAGGCTTACTTCTCTCTCAGAACCCCCCTTGAGAAAGGCTGGGATGGTCATCAAGGAACTGAGAGGCAAGAGCATTCGATGCATCATACTTTAGGTTGAAACCTATAAAATCTACAACTTGATATGCTTCAGTGTAATACAATATGTAGATATTGAAATCACCAAGAATGATGGCAGGAGTGGTGAAGAGAAAGACAGTGATATATTAAAATTTTCAGTGAATGGTCAGGAAGTGTCGGTGGTGGTGGAGGGCAGGTGACCAGGAGAATAGGTTATGACTACTTCAGGGTTGGGTAGCAGGGGTAACACCTGATTTGTGCTTCAAACTAGGTTTTTCCAGTAGGCTGGAAGCAACAAGGAGGAGGAAGAGGATATCTACCCCAACTCCAGGTCAGTAGTACTGTGGTGAAGGAAGAAGAAACAAGCCAGTATTTGAGAAGGTACAAGGCAAAGAAGTATCCTCAGAGGACAGCCATCTTTCAGTGAGAGCAAGAAGATGAAGAGAATGTTCAGAGGAGGCTGAGAATATGGGGGGAGGTGGAGGGGGAGGGTGCGGGCGAGTTTGTTGATCACTGATAGGAATTCCAGAAGGCAGAGTCATTTCGAGAGTAGGAGTGGATGATTGGGTCAGATTAGAAAAGTCCTCCCAGATGACAGATTAGAGTTATGTGGGGATGAGAGATGCCAGGGAGGCTTGGATTTCTTGTGGTGTTAAGGTAAACAAACTTAGGAAAGTTTTATCCTAGTTATCTCTTAAAGGAGCAGTGCTAGCCAATAGAACTATCTGTAATGACAGAAATGTTCTATATTTGTGGGGTCAAATATGAAAGCCAGTAGTCACATGGCTATTGAGCATATGAAATATGGCTCATGGGACTGAGCTGAATTTTAAATTATATTTAACTAGAGGCCCGGTGCATGAAATTCACTCATGCTCGGCAGGGGGGAGGGGAGTCCCTCAGCCCGGCCTGCACCCTCTTGCAATCTGGGACCCCTCGGGGGATAGCCAACTGCCGGTTTAGGCCTGAACTGGCAGTCAGACATCCCTCTAGCAATCCGGGACCAGCTCCTAACCACTCTTCTGCCTGCCTGATCACCGCTAACCACTTTTGCCTCAGCCTCTGCTTTTGCCCTGCCGCTGCGGCTTCGTCCAGAAAGTCATTGGAAAGGATGTCCAGAAAGTCATTCGGCCGCTGGTCTAATTAGCATATTATGCTTTTATTAGTATAGGTTCTAATTAAGATTTAAATTTAAATAGCCACGTTGCTATTAGGCTAGTTTCTTAGGGGAGGTCAGCAGCATTGAGGCAGGCAGCATGCAGGTGAAATGCACCTTTTCTTCTTCCTCTTACAGCCCACTGAGGAAGTGCCTGGCTGGGGAAGGGGCACTTTTAATAGGAGCATACACAAGTCTGTGGACTCCTGTTATTTTCTGCTGAGGTGGTTTTGAGGTTGAGGGAGATAAATTGAAGATGACAAATCTCTCTTCTTTGTATATATAATTTCTACTCCTCAAGGAGCCATTTGTTTCACTGTTATAGTTGTAGGCCATATGTTTTATTTGTGATTGCCTCTCTTTGGATTTTTGGAAACAAATGTGCTGATATTTACATAGTATTGATAATTGTTCTATAATTCTTTGATTATTTGCTGTTCATTCTGTTTGTACAAATCAGTATGGGAACCATTTAAAAGTAAGACCTAACCCAAACTTTAGACAGGCTGGTAAGTGCTTGTCCTAAGGATGTGTTTAAATATTTGGCTAAGGCTAAAAAATAAGTCTGGAGGAATAATAATGATAATTACAGTTAACAACTTATGTTTGCTGAGTGCTTTCTGTGGGCTGGAAACTCTTACAACTTATTTGGATTATCTGATGTGATTCTTACCAAAACTTATGAGAGTAGATGCGGTATCATCTCATTTTGTAGATAAGTCAAACTAATACTCAGGTTAAGTTATTTGCCTGTGGCAAATAGCTAGTAGAGTCCCAATTTGGACACCATTTTGTCCAACTCTAAAGTTAGTGTCCTTTATTCCACTAGGCATTACTGCTTCCTTTTGTCTTAACTGTGCCAAGGCAAGTCCATAGCGCAGCTCCTTAGGGTGTTTCCATCTCTCAGGTCTTTTTTTTTTTTTT